GCTAGTTCGAAGCTTTGTATACTGCAGGGTAGCTTGTGGATTTACTCCAGGTGGAACTAAAGTCTGATTTAAGAGTTGATTATATTTCACATCATTAATACAAATCTGTAAGTAACTAAAGGTATTAAATACATGTAGTTGAGTAGAAGTACACGATTTACCTCTGAATTGTAGTGGAGTAGAAGTAAATATTAGCACAACATAGAAATACTTAAGTAAATTTCAAGTATCTCAAAATTGTACTTGAGTAAATGTACTCAGTTACTTCCCACCTCCGTAGTCCAGCGTCATTAGATGTAGTTTAATTGAACAAAGGTGTCTTTTTTGTAAAAAATCCCAGATGCATATATAAATTGTACTGATGTAGTACTTTAGTAAGTGTACAGTTACGTATAACAACTTGCTGGGATCCTTGGGTAACTAATTAAGACGATGCTGGGGGAATAGATCCAGATGAGGAGCAGACCCCCTGAAGGAGTGTAGAGCAGAAACATGTAACTAAGCCACTGCTGACCATGCTGCTGACCTCTGCCAAGTCTTCAACATGTATCTTAAATGTATACAGCGCCCTCTGCTGACAGTCTGCTTTTCAAGTACAATTGACCAAATATGTGTCTTTTTTTTATTGAAAATGAACTATGGTAAATGAATAAAGCCCTCTCAGTAACATTTGTTGGAAGAAAACAACCCTATATGCTTCTAAATTAATAATAAAAAGCACATATTTAATTTTCTGTTTACAGTATAGTTTTATTATTTATTAATAATATTAGCATTTAAATAATATTTGCATTTAAATAAACCATTCACAAAACATACATAACAAAAATAAACACATCTAGGTACATACATTAACTACATAACAGTTGACAAATCCGAAATGAAATAATAAAAGTATTAATACAGTATTAATACTCAATATACATTAATTGTCAATTATTACCTCATGTTCCTTATAAATCTTCGTTATAGTGTTCTATACTTTACCCATTTTTCCCATCTTTCCTCAAAGATATACATTTGGTTTCTAATTCTCATAGTTGTTTTCTCCATTCCATAGATTTCATTTACTAGGTTATTTAATTGTGAGTTTATTAAGTTATTATCTTTAAGCCAATTCCTTGTAATTTGTTTAATGATTGCTATTCTTATCACAAGAAATAGGTAGGAATCTTTATTTTTTATTTCCGCTGGTGTTTTCCCCAAATACACTGAGCAAAAATATAAACGCAACACTTTTGTTTTTGCTCCCATTTTTCATGAGATGAACTCAAAGATCTAAAACATTTTCTACATACACAAAATAACCATTTCTCTCAAATATTGTTCACAAATCTGAAAAAATCTGTGATAGTGAGCACTTCTCCTTTGCCGAGATAATCCATCCCACCTCACAGGTGTGGCATATCAAGATGCTGATTAGACTGCATGATTATTGCACAGGTGTGCCTTAGGCTGGCCACAATAAAAGGCCACTCTGAAACGTGCAGTTTTGCTTTATTGGGGGGGGGGTCTGGGGGGGTCCGAAAACCAGTGTCAAAATCTGGTGTGAGGGTTAGGATTAGGGTTAGGGTTAGGGTTAGATTGACATGCATCCGCTAAGAAAAATAGTCCGTTGTTACAGTTTTTTAAACAGTTAGGGTTGCATGTGTTACACTGCGTGAGGCAAATGGTGGTCACACCAGATACTGACTGGTTTTCGGACCCCCCCAGACCCCCCCAATAAAGCAAAAATGCACGCTTCAGAGTGGCCTTTTACTGTGGCCAGCCTAAGGCACACCTGTGCAATAATCATGCTGTCTAATCAGCATCTTGATATGCCACACCTGTGAGGTGGGATGGATTATCTCGGCAAAGGAGAAGTGCTCACTATCACAGATCTTTTCAGATTTGTGAACAATATTTGAGAGAAATGGTTATTTTGTGTATATAGAAAATGTTTTAGATCTTTGAGTTCATCTCATGAAAAATGGGAGCAAAAACAAAAGTGTTGCGTTTATATTTTTGTTCAGTGTAATAGGGTTAATGTGTTCTTGTTGGGAGAAAGGCCAAAGATACTGGACATTTCTCTTAGTTGTATTATTTATTCAAATTGTTGCTAGGCAGCAGCAGTTGGAGACCCGCCCAGCCAGTGATGTCAGCACAGTGTGAGTTATTTGCTTAAATTGTGAAAAGACAACACCACACCGTCAGTGGTTGGGGCGTGTGGAAAATGTTCACCTGCAGAGAGTGCCTCAAGCTTTCTGGCTGGAGTTCAGTTTCTATTTTGGTTCCCAGTCAGAGGGATGGTTGTATTTTGGAAGTATTGGCTGTGCTGCTAACAAGTACTCTACACTACCTACTGCACATTATTACAGTGTGATACTGTTAGTGTTTATTGTAGCATTACCCCTGCATCATTTGTCATGCCTCAGTCCTTAAAGGCCTTTATTCCCCGGTTATATTACACATAATACAATGTTGGAAAATGAATCAACACAGAGATTTGAGTTTGGCTCCGACAAAAACATTTATTTAGAATATGATCTATTTGAAGATCACAGATAAATCTGCGTAATGTTAGTCACCTTGTAAAACAGAAAAGAGAAAGAAAATAATACCTTAAATAACTAAGCTATTTACATTTGAAGCACTACTTCATTTCAAAATTGGTAACCTATGTAAAAATATAATATATATCAGAGTTCAGCTCCTTTCAAAATGTAGTTTAAAAGATGTCGTAAAAAAATAAAAAATCTTCAAAGACTATGAGAGGTTTTATACCAAGACAGAGTTAGACATGCTGATATCGCACATGCTCAAGACCCTCTGTTCACTTCATCTACCGGTATACTGAATCAAATACTCTGGATATATCTGATTTGGATCAAATATTACAAAGATCTTGGGATGTTTGACATCATCCACACAGCTGTAGTGAGTGTTTTCAGCACTTCCATCATCAGGTTTCCGACAAATAGCCTTTCCAACCGTTGATTTTCCGATTATCACACGAGCCAAAAATATCACTTTAGTGTATTCACCTTGAACACCTCGTGTTTCCCCGCCATACAGAGGCAATGGATCCCTGCTGCCGTTGCTGTATTTGTCTGCAAATGTTGCATGTTTTGCAAAATATATCCCTTAATAAAAAGACAAAGGAACGGAGATCAGACTCTGCAGTTATTTACATTCTGTCTATGTATATATGTATATATTGTTGCACAGGCATTAGCTTACCTTTGCCATATACGCTGCCATGTTTGCTAGGCAATCGTAAATCAAAGTTATACTTGCAAATGCTGTCAACATTTGTCATTTCTGTACCATGAAAGAGTCTCTTCTCCTGGATCTCTTTGACATCCTGGATTCTCATTACCTGCTTCTTTTTCCTTTGACACAAATAAAGGGAAGATGAGAAGAAAGTGGAATTGTGAATGAGATAGACAAAGTTAAAAGACTTCCTTACCGACAGAATATCTCCCACAGGTCCAGATTCTGGATCCTGCTGATTGACACGATGTCTGCATCCAACAACCCCTCTGTCTTCACATAGTCTGCCACTGTGAGATACTCAGGGCTGAGTTCACTCAGAGGCATTAACTGTCAAATACATAGGAAACACATCTGATAAAGGCTTCAGTTGAAACATAAGTAATTACAGTGGTGTAAAATAACTAAGTAAATGTACTAAAGTGCTGTACTTAAGTACAAAGGGAAAAGTACTCTACTTTTTGTGCTATTTTGAACTTCTACTCCACTACAATTCAGAGGTCAATGGTGTACGTTTATTCCATTACATTTATTTGATACATTTAGTTACTTTACAGATTTGGCTTAATATAATCAAGTCTTAAATCAGAATTTAGTTCCACCTGGAGTAAATTCACAAGCTACCCTGCAGTATACAAAGTCATTCAAACTAGCTGCACATTTATCATAATTATAATCCAAACAAATGATGACATAATATACACATGGTGTTGATCTGCATAATGAGTACTTTTAGGCACTGTAAGTACATTTTGATTCAATACTTTTTACTTGAGTAAAATGTTGAATGTTTACTTGTTACAGAGTATTCCTACACTCTGGTACTTGTACTTTTACTTAAGTACAAGACCTTGTACGAGTACTTTTCCCACCTTCTAAATACATGAATTTGTGTATATTTCGGTTTCCAGTCATTGTCACCTGATATGGACATCTTGGGTCCACCTTTTCCCAGAAGACAGGAGAAGCACTGAAGCAGGCGCATCTGTAGGATAAAAGTGCTGAGTTTCACTTTCACTTTCCAGGAAACAATACTTAGCTATAACTCAGAAATCTTTTGTTACATTCATGTGTTTCAAGCCTCACTTTACCCTCTCTCAAGGTTGAAGGCCCGTTGGATTCTTCTTTGCCTTCCTGTGATGAGGTCAGTCTGTAACATTGCTGTATAAAACACACAAGTTATGTTATTCAAGTTCTGTATGAGGAGGACTTAATGTGAACACAAACATGTAGTCAGTTACCTGAGAAGTCCATCTTGCTCTCACAGTTACCGGATGATGTATTCAACGCTGCTTTAGAGTTTCTTTTGTAATATTTTTCAATATCCTCACTCCTCAGGGGATTATCAGGGTCGTCCTGCAGGATTGACAGAAGGTAACAAAAGCTAAAAATCCTGCTTCAGATACATTACTGTTGCTATGATATGATAATTTGGATAATAATCTTAAGAAATGTTAACTATTTACCTCAAACCTGTGCCACCTTCCACAGTCTGCCAGATAATACCAACACCATGGGAAGTCTGAAGTGTCCATGTATTCCACTTCCTTATTGCTACACATTGTCCTGACAGAAATGTGATAAACAAGCGAAATAAATACGTTTAAATACGGTCCTTCCTCTTTCTGCTGCACAGATAGCTATTAAAGTTGGTGTTTGTATGAATGACATGTCAGTCAAAGCCACACCTCTGAGGGAGGCGGGCCTCCTCACTTTAAAGTGGGAGGCTAACATTTATACCAGCAGAAAGAGAATCATAAAGACATATTTGAAAAACTTTATTGGGTGTAACATGTGCAAATTACAGACACGCATATAGCTTTACTACAAACCCCTACGCTCACACCTGTGTTATGACTGAAGACATCAGGTGGTTCCCTCATTTACAAAGAGGAAATGCAAAGATCCGTTTTTGTACTGTTACGCCATCTTGTGGCAAATATATGTGAAACTTATGTAGTCCTCGCTCAAACACACACTCAATCATTCAATGAATCCAACAGATAAACACAGCAAAGCCATAATACATTGTGTGTTTGTTTTCATTACAGTACTATACATGTGTTGGCTACATTCATTTTCCTTTTTAAAGATACACCAGGTGCAAAGATAACCTGCTTATTCCCCACAGAAATGTGTAACCTCACACTTGGTTTAAAGTCAAATGTGATGCTAGATATTACGTTTTGGTTGGGAATGGTTGCAAAGGCATACAAAATCCAATGTTTTAAAGATGTTCAGAAGGAGGACACACAGAAACATATTGCTAAAGGACCACGGGTCAACACGACATCACAACTTTATGTCATTGTGACACAAATACAAAACCTTTCATGGAAAGGGGGGAAAGTGCAGTGATGCATGATTTAAAAACTAAAGTGCAGAGGTAGAAGCGTTTTTTTTTAAAACAAGAACAAAAAGGAAATCCATGCCTACATAAAACATCACAGATGATGAGCACTGACGGGATGAATGAGTTAGCACTGCAGGAATGGTTTTTGGTTTGGTCATTTGGAATGATGTCTAAATGAACATAAATAAGCTCAAGCGTGGCACTGTGGATGTGAAGGAGAGGCTGTGGCTGATGGCGGAACATCACGTGTGACCTAAAGGCTGCAACTGTCCCTCCTATTTTAAACAACTGGACACGGAGAGTGGACAAGTGAGCACAGATTTTTGCATTTTATAAAAAATTGCCACATTGACCGACTTCTTTTTTCTTTCGACGTTGCAGAAACACTTAGAATGTGTTGTACAAACTCCACACAAAGTCTCTATTGTCTTTCTGATTTCCCCAAAGGCACTTTATGCTCCAGTTAGGCACCGGATCTGACTGAAGGAAAAAACAAATGTCTCTTAAGCCGCTTCTTTTTTCCAATATTCATCCCGTCATGTGATAGTGTCTTTATTTTTTCTTTGTTCGAGAACCAGCCTCTATAAAAAAACAAAAAGTATTCTTTTTAAGCTTCAGTAGAACTCGATCAGATACTCCGGGTAAATCTGATTGCTGTCGAAAAGGACAAAGATCTTTGGATTGGCCATATCGTCCACACAACTGTCAAAGAAGTTGGTGAAGCTGGCATCCTTGGAGGGGGGTCTGCAGTACATAGGGTGACCCACTGTGTGTTCTCCAACCAGCACTCTGGCCAGGAACATGGTCTTGTAAGGGGGCTCCGTAGCAAATATTGGGGGGGCGAGTCCGTGTCGCTGCAGGACGTTGTTGTGCTTCCCTGTGGTGTGACAAAACTTACTGGAGTATTTGGCGTCCCGGGCAAAGTAGCTCCCTACAGGAAGAAAAATTGTAAAAAAAAAAGTTTAAATCATACAAAGAAGTGTGATAAATAGTTCCATAATGTCACATCACAACACAGAAGGATGTACCTTTGCCATAGACATCGCCATGGCTTCCTGTCAGCCGCCAGTCAAAGTTAAATGTACATATAGCTTGTATGTTGCTGTGCCCTGTGCCGTGAAACAGCATTCGCTCCTCAATATCCAATGTGCGCTTGACTTTTCGCAACTGTGTTTTCTTCCTTAGGGGACCAATGAATGACAACAGAACACAGAGTACTGATCATCACTTTGGAACTCAGTGCTCTTTCAGACGTATCAAAATCAAAGTCGTTTTAGTCTCTTGATTTACTTTAGCTTTGTCTGTAGTAGGAGCTGGGAACTCAAGAAAAGACACAGCTTACATAAACTAGCATTTGAGACATTCACCACAATAACACAGTTGTCTACCTGCAGAAGAATTCCCATAAATCCAAGTTCTGAATCCTCTGGATGGATTTGATGGGATGATCCATAGTCCTTTCATATAATCTGGCAACTTCTTTAAATTCATAGGTGTCTCTTCCGAGCTGGATGAGCTGTAAAAACACAACACAATGAGTAAAGGTACTAGAAAGAAAAAACAAACACAAATATTTGTTTTCTTAGGAAAGAAGATTTATCTGGGGTAAAATGCTGGGTGGAAACACAGTGTGTGTAACAGATGTTTAGTGAGTAACAGTGTGTTATTTCACTCACCTGAAAAGGTTCATCTGTATTGATTCTCTCCCAATGACAAGGTACAGGCAAGGCCAGATTATCACAGATAAACCTGACAGTAGACGGAGAAGAGGGCTCATTAATTCAATTGTTTCAGCAGTATAAGTGTGTTTGCATAGTATGAAAGACCTCCATCTAAAATATGTCTGCGCCTGAGGCATAAATCCTTCCTCCTCGTGTTTTTGGAGAGACCAAAGTCCGGGGTCAGCTGCAGGCCCTCTCCCTGTGGAGCTGGTAGGAATTCAGGTTTTACATCCAGGATTCCTGAGGCTGACACAGACTAAACCCTGACCTTTCAGATAAAGCGTGGTCGTCTGAGTGCAAACCTCCTCCTGCCTGCCCTAACAGATGAAGGGTGAAATACAGACAAAACAGTTGGCTTTAACTGCTAAACCTTACCGGAAGCCAGTTGCAGAGTGGAGGGATCGTTTGATTGGCCGCTGCTTCCCTGTCGTTACATTGATCTGTCGCATTGCTGGTGAGGAGTTCATCAAAGATAAGAGACACAGAAACTAACATGCATGCATTACTTCTAACAAAGGATTAATCAGGAGACAAAGAGCGGTACCTCTTGTGTAACTTATCACTTACCTGAGAAGTCCAGTCTGTAGGTGTACTTGGCTGTGTAGAACTCCATCACACCTCGCTGGTTTCGGCTGTAGCACTGCTCAATCTGAGCACTGGTCACAGAGCAGGCCGCACTGGGATCAATCTGACAGTGGAAATCGAGTAATGTATAAATAAATTAGTTTCTTAAACATAACATATTGATTGATTGGTCCATTGAAAAGAAAGTTCTGTGGAATCTGTTTGTATAAAAAAAAGTATTTTCTCTAGAAAAAAAGGCAAACATATATTACTTATAGCTTCTTTGTTATGAGCAATTCCTGCTAATGTGATAGTGAATTAAATAAAGTCAGGTTTTGGCCAGACAAAATAATTAATTTGAAGATGTAACATTAGTGTTAAGAAAGGTTTTCTAACCACCACAATATGCAGATTCATTGATATTAAGTAATTAATATTTACCTGCAGTGTGTACTGTTAGGTAATAACCAAAAGCCCATGGTGGCATCATCTTTTTGTTTAATTTCTGATTCAACAGCTTAAAACCAAATTAATATTAAATTCAGCACAAATAATGGAAAGGGAAAGCAGCAAATTCTCACATTTAAATCATCAAATGTTTGCCAATTTGACTTAAAATAATTATACAAATTATATCATAGACGTATTGCCTATTGACTATTTCGGCTTCAGTAATGAACTGACATGCAGAAATAATGGCTTAATAGAAATAAAAAATGCAATGTGATTTGCAGGAAAAGCCTCTAATCATTTACCACTGACTGACAGATCTTTGCCTGTCATTTGCAGACAATAGGAGACCCAGGTGTCATTGAGGGAGGGGCAATACATTATAGGGAGTGAGAAAGTGTAAGGTCATGTCCTGTGAACTACCTCGAACATATGCCACACTCCACACTCAGCCAGGTAGAACCAGCACCAGTTCGGTTCCGAGGTGTCCATCTCCTCCATGTCAGTGGACTCCTCCTCCGCCGCCCTGATAGCTAACATAGCTAAATCTGAAATGAATAAGTGAAGAGACGCGAACACCTCAGGCAAATAGCAACCACAACAGAGGAAGACATGGGGGCAGCAAGGTGTATATTCGTGTAAAAAAGCTTATGTCAAGCATATGTGTTTAATGCATGGTCGTGAGGGCATTTAATCCTTTAAATAAATACAAAAAAATACAGTACATTGTCATAGCGAGCTAGCTATCATTAGCAACTGCCGCACCCGACTTCTTAGCTCTTCATGGGTATCTTACCGGTTTTCAGCCTGTCTCTAACCTTGCCCCTTTCCTTATTGGGATATAAATCCTTCATGCATTATGAATCACAAAAAATGAGAGACTCCGAATGCGAACGGGTTACTGTCGCTACATAACATTTTCGTCTTCGTTCTTATGCGTTGTTTACTTTTATTTCCTGTTCGTCACGCACAACACGTCAGTGCGTCAATGTGATGTAACTCCTCCCCCTTTACACTAGTACAGTGTAGCCCTGAGTTTGGCCTGTCAGGTAGTGATCATTTGAACCGTCAAAGTGTGTAAAACAGGCAGATTTGATATCTCAACCGTGTGCTCTATACACAGTATATATACAGTATATGGCTCTATCTCATACCGAGTTCCCAATGAACATAAAATCATATTTTCATGTTAACAATATTGCATTTATTCCAGTTTAATGATTGAAAAGCCTAAAGAGGCTGGTAAACATTGCAAAGAGGGATTTGTATTCCTTTTTATTATTTTCGTCAACTTAACCATGTTGTAGCCTGAGAAAGGTTATACATATAAAAGAATACATTTATTAACTACATTATCTCATTTAGCTGTAGCTTTTATAAACAAAAAAAAGGCGTATTGACCAGTCGTTGAGCCAGGGACCCTGTGGTTGTGAGTAAACTGCTTTCCAGCTGAGCCACAGCACACACACTGATCCTGACTAAAAACCACTGGATACTAGGCCTACTTATTCCTGTATTTATTCATTTATTGATGTTTTTATTCCTAGTTTTATTTATGCTTTTATTTATTTATAGGCCTACTTATGACATGTTCCGACCTCTATATAAGTGAGGGTCTGAGGCTGAGCTCTCTTAATTCCATCGTGTCACCGCCGGGCCCGGGTAGGCTACAGGAGGGGTAATATCGTTCTTATTATACATCCATGGGTAATATGAGCGTTGTGGTTCAACCGATCTGAATCGCTTTCTGAAGCAGTCACGAGGTATTGACAGGCAGCTAGGCTTCCTTTGTTTACGGTGACGTCACTGGCCCAGAACGATACAAGCCTCGATACAAGCTTGACAAAAAACTTCGTGGATCACTCGACACACGCTTATGGAAGCAAACAAGAGACAGAAGTATTTCAATTTTATCAGACACCGAATTTATAGCATTGAAAATAATTACTTTGAAAATCATGTATCTGAATTGTTTTGCTCTGAATTTACCTATGTGAAATAAAAATGTAAAAATTCAAGTTAAAAAAATTAGAATGTTCAAATTCAGATCCCAAAAATTCAAGTTAAAAAAATTGTTTGCTTTCATAGTTTGATTGCATTCGGACTCGATTGCTTATCCTGTCAGGGTAATTTTTGGGATCTGAATTCGACCATTCAAATCTTTTTGACTTGAATTGTTACATTTTTATTTCACATGGGTAATATAGGAGCAAAAAAAATCAGATACATGATTTTCAAAGTAATTATTTTCAATGCTATAAATTTGGTGTCTGATAATAGAATATGGTGGAGCAAATATTGGATACTTTTTTGCTAATCTTTCTGCTTCCGATTCGATTGCAATCGTCTATCACTGTACATACGATCAATCGATCGAGTTGCTATTATAACGCTGCCCTTTTTTTTGAAAGTCACGTGTAGTGCGAGACTGGTCGAGGCTGTCCCTCGAGATGAGACTTGTGGAACCTTTTTTTGCCGGGCAAGATTGTCGACAAGTGGTCGCAGAGGTCAGACACCGGTGTCACTGAGGCCTGCGTGTCAAGTATAATTGCTTTGCGTGGCATCCATTACATCGACGACTTCATCTGGTAGTAGCGGCTCTTCGTCTCCGATAATATGTAGTACTCGTCTCGGCTGTCCGTCCTTCTGAGCTCGTGGTGTCGAGGCGCGAAGTAATATTATATATTATTTTTCGAGCGCCGGCGTGCTAATTAGGCCAGGGTCTGGCGGAGGGTATGGGGTTTATATAAAAATCAACGTCTAGATGTACTTAGTGTGTTTGCCTGGATAAAACTTAGTTTTGCCCTCCTTAAGAGCGGCTTTTCCACTGTTCAAACGTAGGGACCTGTTCTATTGTTTTAGGAACTAGATGTGTGTCGGTTTATTTGAGTTTACTGTGTTGCTCTACATTTTTCCTCTAGTGTGTATATCAGCTATATTTTGACCGGCAAGTTAGACTTCTCGTTGATTTTGTTTTGTGCTCTCACGTAGAGACAAGAACACTTGTGATTACAATAGGGTGTCGTATGTGGCTGTCGTGCTTCAAGAATTCCTCTTTTGTCAACGATTTTGTTTTGTGCAATCACATGGAACAATCCGATCGACTGTAATTGGAATTTGTTAACGTGATGAGTATAATGAGTGACTTTGGAACATTTCGGCCAGGGCGGCGTACGACCGAGAATGTCTTGGCGAGGGAAAAAACATACATTTCGAGAGTTTGTACGGGTCCTGAACATCACTAGAAAGTGAGAGCAAAATATGAAAAAGCGGAGTAAGACTTTCTTTGTCCACTTAAATGATACAGTCGGGTAAGAAACACTACCACTGCGCATAACACGCTCTGTCTCTGGAACATCAAGTGACTCGCCAAAGTGTGTTTTTTTACATTGAAGTGTCAAAATGCTGTGTAAAATATAAAAAACTGAACGTTTTACAAGAAAATTAAACTGTTTGTAGTATACACAGAAAGCACCGTGTTTAAGTTTGGCGCCTAGCGCTTTCTACTGAAAGAGAGAGGTAACTGCAGTTAACATATTAAAAGGCGAAGGCCCCAAGGTACCCAGCCTTCATCTACCCGCCCTGAAGCGAGAGACGTGGCGACCGTCACACGTGGTGTCAAGACCGGCCATTACTTATAATGTAAACACTCCTTTGAAAGGTGGTTATTAAGGTTATTCATAAGGTTTTACATGAAGGAAGTCCAAATACTTCTCATTGACATTAGTCTAATGAGGCAAAAGTTTACATTGCGGTCGACTTATGTCAATCGGATGAAACTTAAAACATAAGACTAATGCATTGCGCCAATTGTACAATAAGGCAATGTGGATGTTCGGTGTGACGAAGATCCGATGACAGGCGTCGTTGGTCGGAGAGACAACCTGAGACAGCAATCGCCCCGACCGACGACACCACGGCTCGCGTGTTTCGTACTACAGAGTGTTGCTTCCTAGTGAAGAAGAAGTTCCGTCCCTTCCAAAGCGTCATTGCGTCAGATGACAGGGCGTCGACGACGGAGAGACAACCTGAGGCATGACGTGGAATGAAGTGCTCTGCAAACAATTTTTTACCCACCCCCCGCTTGCGTGATTGGTGAGCGGTTGCGGTGTCAGTGGGGGCAGCACGCCCCGGTCTACTCTTACCGACGCCGGCCTACACCGGGCGCCCGGCGGTCAACCACAGTGAGCCACGGCATACGTTAGTTTGATACCTTCGTTTGTTCTATACCTCGTTCTGCTCTCTGTGCTTC